CTTCTACAAATAAGAAAAAGTAACACTTTTTTTTTCGAATTACCTACCATAACCAAGGCACATTATTGAGAAATTCTTCAAGATATTGTTTTTGTCATCTTACACCTTTTAATGAAGATGAGAACATTGACAGGGAAATAGATTTGAATGAAGAAGTTTTGTAAAGAGCGCGAACGGTAATGTGATGTAAAATTACTCATGCTAGAAATTTTCATAAAAAGAGACCCGAAAAACAGTGCTAACTCAGTAACCCATGGCCCGATTTTAATGAAACTTGTTTTATTCTGTTTCTATTCTCATTTCATTACAAATATGGTGCTATTGTGCACCGTTTTTGCTTTATTTAATTACAGACAAGCACACAAACAAACAGTCTCAGAGTTTTAGTAGTATATAGATTTAACATTTACTGAAAGACGTACATATAAAATTTTAGATGAAGTAAAGTAAGCAGAACGAAAAGTAACCAACTGCATTAAATTTTACTCAATAATTCTCAAATGCCTGAGAAGGCAACTATACATAATTAAATACAATAGTCTGAAGTACGAATAACAGTGTTTTAAATTTTGAAGCTCTACTCTCTTCAATATAAAAACACACAAGCTAGTATAATTTATATTAAAATTAAGCTAAAACACAGGATTAAAGTTATCAAATCCAAGTTGAATTATAATGTTAATCATTTTCCATGGAGAAAGTTTAAAAATATTAACAATCTACTTAATTTTGCTATAACAAATTCACTAGTCAAATTGATGGCACAGTAAGCCATAATTTAAAAACAGTGTCACTAATCAGACTTGCAGTACAGTCAGAATTTTGAGGTAATATCACTAATCAGGTCCAATGGTTGAAGTTAATATCACACGTTAGACTTCTGTCCATTTCTAATGTTTATGATATTCAGCAGACAATTGCATAATAGAAGTCCCCTCTCTCTCTCTTACAAAGGCACAATAGTTAGTTAACTACTTTGTTAAGCCAACAAACAACTGGTCTAAAATGTAATCCAGTTTAATTGATGTCATGTGTGATGATTGTTACCATAATGGAAAAATCTGATTATCTCATAAAAGAATCCTGCTCAAATTGAGTAATAATGAAAGTGGTTATTCAGCCTGCTGAAATATTCATGTACTTTTTGAGTTGTTTTATTTAAATATGAATGATCATAGTAATCTTTATGAATTAACTCACACTACAAATGTGATCAAGTTCATAACCAGTTTGTCTTCATTCTAGTTTCCATACTTTATCTTTCAATGCAGCAAGTGTATCTTCACAAAAATCTGTCAGACTTTTGTACATAAAAAAATCAAATTTTTTAATGAAGTACTTTTAATAAAAATTTGTCCAGAAATATATAAGTTTTTTTTTACTGGTCGAAGTGCAAAGCGATTTTCATGTTAAGATTAAAATACTTTTCTTTGTCTCAAAAATCTCAACTTTCATTTGTATAATCTCTAAAAGCTCTTAAATAAATTTCAAAACTTGTTTCAGTAAAACTTTACTTGACTGACTTTGTAACCACCATAAACAGAATATGAAATGAATATAAATTACCATTTCATTTCTTTCTAGAATGACTTTAAATTGTAACATGAAACTACATTTGTTTATCCTAAATAGCTTTAAACTCGTAACAGTACACATCTACTTATACTTAAATTTTATTGTTTTTTGCCCTATGAACAGTGTCTAACT